AACCCGTCCATCGCCCGGAGGAAAGGAATTCGGGTGAGAGCATTTGAGTGTGGCACTCGCCAAACGGCACGTTGTCATCTTCGTTGTCGTATTCGTAAGTAGGTGCCGGATTCTTGACGAAGATATTCGGCAAAAAGTGCATGAATGAGTTAAAGGGTATTTTGGTAGGTGACGGGAGTGCGGTCTTGTGCAATGAACTTGATCCATGTACAGCCAGTTCCAGGATTAAAGTGGGGAGCAGAGTCGTAGCTTGATCCAATCCGAATCCATCCATATGTCTCTTGCGGAAGGCACCATAGTCTCGCACTCGCTGCCGAAGGCTCTTGATCGAATCTCCATCCAATCTCACGCCGTTACTTGCCACTATTGGTGGATCCTTTATGTGGTTCACGGAGAAGAAGCGGTCGAAAGGTGCCTTGACTTGCTTCCCGTTTCCCGTCATTCGCAGTTGCGTCAAGATAGTGTAGCTGAGGATGAAGTTGACATCGAGGAGATTGGGTGAGAATTCATCTGATTGGAAGTGAACCTGTAAGCGGCCTTGAAGCTCCAGGAAAGTTTCGGGCTTAAGCTGTGCAGCTACAGGGTGGTGCAAAGCCATGATATGCGGTAGCCATCTACTCAGTTCATATGAATTGATTCCTTTGGCTTTGCGTAAGGTCCAAGTGTCGCCACTCTTGAGCAGAGCTTCGATGCATCTCTCCGCTGCATATGCTATGCGGATCGTCTCTTGTAGGGTCGTTGTGGCTAAGACGGAGTCGGCTTCCGCCCAATGGGTTTCCGATAGTTCTATGCCATGTTCGGAGAGCAGGGGCTGTCCTAAGTTGTACTTTGCAATGTTGCGGTATACTATTTTGTCATTGCAGATCGTTCGCAATTGTCGGTTGGTTCTTGAAAGATTGAGGGCTGAGGAGCAGGGCAGAAAAGATGCGATATGCTGTGTGAGCTCGTTGGGAAGTAACAGCAGGCTTGTCATAGCAGTTGTGTGATGTGGCTGAATGTCGGATCGAAGATCATGGGAGGAGTTATGACGATGTTTGCAGGGGGTTGACGGGTAGCGCGGCGTTAGCGCACGTGACGATAACGATAAGACACCTGTGCGAGTCGCGATATCGCAGTGCCTCAACACACCGACAGGCACGCCGAAAATGCTTCCGGACAACATCGCTAACAGCTACCGAGAATATAAAGCCGACACCGAGATCTTTGTTACATGGCTTGTCGAGACGGCTAGTCGTTGTGGCTTCGTCCCTTCTGCCATTGCGCCAACTTCTGCTACTGGTGGCCGACTCAAGGGGAAAGCGCGAACGGCTGAACCCAAATCCCCGCAAGCGCGCAAGGTCACCATCAATGATTTGAGAACGTGCGCCGATGCCATAGCAAAGAAACCTCCCAAGAAGTTCGTGGTGCCACTCTACGCCAGCAGAGCAGCAGCTCGAGCAATCCGTCAGCGCACCAAGTCGACGAAATGGCACGAAAATCAGACTGAACATGTAGATCCAAATTTACAGCATACATTCACTGCGAGCAACGAAGCACACGCTACTTTCACGGGAACTTTGGAGTACACACTTAATTTGCTAAAGCCGTTCATCACTACTGGCAAAGCGACGCCTAAGCCCAGCGACCACGCTACGCAGACCCCGATCGATGGCCTAAACACTAGATTCAGCAAGCTTGATATCGGAGAGCTGGCAGACCAGGAGCCGGGAAGCGGTGGCCAGTCGACATTTGTTGCTAGACCAGCAACAACCTCAAAGACGAATTATACTGTCGACAACAGAGAGGATGATCGCATGATTGCCATGAACATGTTGTTACAAGATTACAATGAGATCAAGGGTGTCGTCAAAGGAATCTGGCTTCTTTACCATTTGAAGGATGGTGTGGATTTTGTCTCAGCAGCCGCAACGACACAAGCAGCGATGCAGATGATAAAGAGCTTAGTGCACGAATTCTTGGCCTCGTTCCCGGAGATAGAGGACGCTGAGGGCTTCTGGCATAAGCTACTTGATCGTCCCGAGATCAGCAAATTGCTCAGGAGGCAAACAGACGAGGTGCGAGCGAAAGTTCGTGCAATGATGGGAGGATCGCAGTCCTGCGTAGTAAAACCCTCGGATAGCCTGCTCACCTATGGATGTCTGCACACATACAACTGCGTTTGGGAATTTCTTGAAGCGTATCCTACCGCCATGTCTCTTTTGGAGCGACGTGGCTCTGATGGTCGCAGAGATGTTCCATTAAGGAACCAATCTCTTTTGTACGCTATGGATGACATTCTTTATATGGTCAAAGACGTGCGGGAACGACCTCCTGTCATGGATAACTTTACGCAGGAATGGTATGGATACTTGAAACGAGGCTTCGACGACGATCTCGAACCTAAGGAGGACTACCAGTATGGAACAAACATCTCCATCGAAATGATGTTGTACACCGATCTGTACATAGGAGTTCAGGATTGTCTGGTTCCTCTCGTTCCACTCAACAAGCGCTCAGATGGTCGCAATGACTATGAACGGACACTACAAGTTGTAGATGATGACCAGGAATCTGACAAGCCATCAGATGGCGGAGGCGATCATGAACGGAATCCACAGGCCATGGATGATCAACAGAGGTCTGACAAGCCACTAGATGGTAGCGAAGGCGACCATAATCGGGATCCACAGATTACGGACGATTGCCGGGACCCCAGCGAGCCATCACATGATCGTAAAGATAACCGTAAAAAGGTTGCGTCAGTCTTTGCTGATTATCTTGAGACATGGTCACACGCTTCTGGCCATGGGTACATACATGAAGTGGTGAAGGGTTCGGCGCTTTTTCTGGACAACAAGGAACGATCAAAGTTAAAATCCTTCTTCCGCGATCCCCTGACAATGGGGGATAGCCTCGTCTGGATGAGTAATCATCCAATCTGGGTAACACGCGTGAAGCATGAGCGGAAAGCGAAAGGTCTCGATGAAAACTACCAGCCAGACGAACTCTATGATCGCCATAAGGGCGACTGGATCAGGATGAATCCATTCCTCGCTGGAACAATCTTGTTTGTGGCACTACATGCCGTGAGAGAGGTGGTGCTTCTTGTACAGAACGCTGATGGACTTACACTGGGATATGCGCATCTTTACAACTTTCTTCGTCAAGCACACAGTGCGAACCGGGCTGATACAGCAGACAAGTTACTTACAAAAACGTGGGAGGACATGGAGACCGTAATCGCACTGCTCGGCGAGTCAAGCGTCTTCAGGGGTAGCAGACCGGCAACACTCGACTTGTGTATTCAACGCCTGCTTCGCGCACACGGGATGAAAGCGAGTGATCTTGCGCGTACCAATGGTCGGTTCAAGAAGTCACATACCGTCCACGTAGGTGGCCAGATAAGCCTCAACAATACCCCGCTTATTGACCTGCTTTTCTCCAACGGCGGGCCCAGCAGCACAACCTTCCTCAATATTACAAACCAAGCCATCTTGAATTTTCTGATGAAGGAGTTGAAGGTGCATACTCAAAAAACATCGGACCCAGAAGCCTTCAAGAAGATTTGGTCAGCTGGACCACTTGTTGTGTTCCGTGTACTTCTTCAGTCTGAGTTACCAGCATTTCTTTTCCCACAAGAAAAGCTGCAACGCCACTGCAGCGCGATCAATACGCAAATATTTACCGCCTTGTATTTCACAATGACTAACCCAAACATGCAATCAACATTATGGCTGGATTGGGACGACAACGGAGCCATACCTATGAACCTTTTGTTTCATGAAAGGACCCACCACAAGAAGACAGCTGCTGTCTTCATCGACCAGAATATAGTCGCAGTTCATGGCCTTTCTATTCAAGAGGCTGCAGAGATAATGACGAATTATCTGGACAAATGCGTAACACGCGGACGTGGTGATGCAGTGTTTGATGGCACTAAAGGCTGTACAGATATCTTCAACGAAATTGTCAAGTAAGCCCAACCTCAGCAAAGTGCCGACTCCTTCACTAACGCTAATATCTCTTGTACAGAGAACTTCGTCTACCAAATCCTTTGCTACACAGTGCAACCGACATGTCAACTTCCATTGTATGGGCGATTGTTGAAGAGGGAAAAGCGAGCAGATTGGTCTCCGACATGAACAACACTTCCGAGAGTCTTCAATGGATCGTATTACCAGATTCATTTGGTGAATTTGTTGCGGGACTAAGACCGGTGGAGGAAGAAGACGCAAAGGTGCAAACAGAGGTTGACAATGATTGCCCTGTACAAGACAAGGCTGATGATGCAGCTAAACTCGATACCTAGACAGTTACAGAACCACTGACGACAAGGCATTTCTGCCCTGCGTGATCAACTCTACACAGTCAAAAATCGTGAATAGTAGATATGCTTAACTCAGTTATCCGATGGTTCTATGTGGATAGCCAGTTTGCTATACGTGAAAGGGTCTTGTACGCACTGTGATGCCGCTTATGATACTCTCCAGACGAGCAAGTGTCTCGGCCGAATGCACATCTTCAGTTTCGTTGAAGATGAACGAAAAGTCCCAATTTTCCATTCTGAGATGACTTTTGAAGACCATTGTGATATGCGATATCGCTTTAGCAGCAGCGTTTGTCGTTCTCCCGATTTGAGCCAAGGAGTCTGTAGTCACCATCTGCTGTATTGCCCTGCCAGAATGTCTTAACACAAGACCAATCACCGGCTGCTGATGAGCCGTGAGCAAGCTTGCCGACGCGAGCACACGTTCGGCGGCCCTTCTCTCAAGCTCGAAGCCGAGATTGTAGTCTTGAAGGTCCACGAAGAAGACATATGCAGTTCCATCTCCCGGGCGGAGTGTATTCGGATCGACTATTCTTACTGAACTAGAATAGCCAATTGGAAGCTGGAAAGCAACGTCCTCGAATGCCATTCTTGCCCCTCTCAGAAGATCTGCAAGCCGGGCCGTGCCCTGAAACGGATTGGAAGAGCTTACTGGCAGGACACTTTCTATGCGGTGAACGAAGCTAAAGAGTAATCAGCCGAGAGCTCGCACATGCGCGTACAATATCACATACGACCTAGCTGCATAGTTGCCACTGGTAACGCTCAACCCTCTATCAGGTATGATCTGGACCCAAAAGACCATCTTGCCGAACTCAACCCTCTCTTTAGAAGCGTTACGGACGTGCGGGTCTTGAGCCAATTGCACTGCATCATTCCAAATCCGCGTACAAGCTCCTAGCGCCTTATGAGATACCGAGTGCAGCTCAGAGTATCGCTCTAGGTACTCTTCAGTTCGCATGAATCGCATGACAATTCCGGCGTCTTCTTCATCGCAGTGGTCTGAACGAGTCCTGACGATAGTGATTACAAGGCTCAGGAAGAGCTTTCGTAGCTCCCACTGGTGTAAGGCCCACTCGTCGTGAAGGTGATGTTGATCAGTTTGAATGGTGTCAATCAACAAATCCATGCCGATCTGGTCAGGTCCTAGAAAGCAGATACTCTGCAAGCTCCCGGGCGTTGGTGTAGGTTCTACTGCCGACGAAGCTGTCGGGTGGGCTCTGAGGGTTTGCTGCCGTCGCCTGAGCAGATCTCTGACTGATCCCCGGAAGGCCCGCTCGTAGACTCCCGTAGAAAAGATGTTCGAGTCAAATTCAAAGACACGCGATATCTTTGACATGTTGTCGGTCATCTTGCTGGTGAGAGATGCAGAGTCACGATGAACATAGAGAGATATCGAGTCTGCTTTTGCTCGATCCAAGACTTTTCTAGTCTTGTTTGTACCGAGAATACGTTGCTGCTCAGAGAGAGTTTTGCTAAACATATAAGTCAACATTGTCACGCTGCTATTCGGCGTAATACTCACCAGTTACAAGCTGTCAGCAAAAGAGTCAGTGAGCTCGTTTGGTGCTCGATGAGCTTCTGCACGCTTTCCGGCCCGTAACTTCCGAAAACAACTTTGAACTTGTCGCGGAGATCGAGTGGTTTCTCCGTTAGTTGGGCAAGGTCGGAAAAGAAGCTCTCGATTTCGGTCATCAATAACTTGCAACAGGATACCGACACGTCCAGATCCATGACTAGTTGGTGATGGGTGTCTTGGAGATCTTGATCTATCCACTCTTGTATCTTGGTCGAGGCAGCCCGTAGAGCAATGAGCTGGGACGCCAGACTCAACAAAGTAAGATCAGCCTCGCCCCACTTCGTCTGAAGGTCGCCGATAGTACCGACGACTTTACTGATGCCATTCACGATACTGAATATCGAACCCACTCCGCCGAGGATTGCGCAGACTTCTGCCATCTTTGTAGCTTATCTTAATCTCGTGGCATGTCTGAAAGTCTTCTAGTCAGTCAAGTGTTGTCAATGCCGAATGGGAGAATTACCCGGAGTCGTATGGGTTACAGATACAAGAAATAATTAGAATCAAGAATGGAGATAACATCGAGTTCTGTTGTCGAATGCAAAAGTTTCGACGAGACTTTAGATATTTCGAGGCGCAGAACACCAGTTCCAGTATCCAGCCCCCACGCTACGCCCACTGAAGTCAGTGAGACGAAAGCCCGATTGGTCCACCCACCGTCAGCTCATGCTTACAGTACTCTGGGTAAATTGAAAGTGTATTGAAAGCGACCTGACAAGAATATCTACGAACATGCGAATGATAGCCCAGCATTGGTAGCGACTACAAATGCAGCTTATCGACACTCGAATGAGGCAGCCTCGTTAGGATCCCCTCCAAAATATACCATGTGCTTGGGCCATAAGCACAGCTGCGCCTTCCTACCCGTCGCAGTCTCCGCTTCCAGCATGTCAGGTGCCACACCCTTCTCTACCCAATCGATGAGGTTTTTAAGACCATCGCCAGGATACCAACCCAGCCCACCGCCGCAGTGATCCACGCCAGGCGCCTCAAAGTATCGATAGTAATCACTGGCATTCGAATCCCGCTCATGCACCTGCTGCGCGTAATGCGCAGTCGCATCAGGCGCGATAGCCTGATCCGCCAGTCCATGCCACGAAAGGAGCTTGCCACCCGCTTTCCGAAATCCGTCGAGATCTGTGTTTGCGGTACCGATAACGGAGTCGTAGCGGGCTACAGCATCGTGGAAAAGCTGCTCGAAATACGTGGTGTTCATTCGTGCGGTGTCGTATTCGCGGTCGCGGATGACAAAGTCGGTAATCCAGGTTTGAGGTACGGCAAACGGTACGCCGACGCATGTATTGTTCTTGCTGCATGTTGTTGATGCGAGGCCAGCGAATGAAGCCCCGATGTTGCCGGGGTACCACAGGAAATCGCCTTCGGGAGTTGTCGCGCCTTGCCATATCAGCTTTGCTACCTTGGCTAGGGTATTCGTGATGGTCATGCTCTGGTTGGTAGAGGGACAGAGGTATTGTTTACCAACGACAGTCATTGGGTCAAAGGTGCAGTCTTGAGGTGCCAATATGATGCCGTCCTCCAGACCATCGAGACCATCGCAAGCTTCGGCAACAGCAACGTTGATAGCCTCAAATTCCTGCGGAGTCGGAAACCCTGTTGAGTGTTAGTCATGCATATCTAGCCGTCCTTCGAGTACTGACCATTCTCGTTCATGACAACCTGCGGCCAGAAGAGTTGCATCATCAACTCGTTCCAGTAGATGGCTGGTGCAGCCGCCAAGATACCATCATACTGATCTGGGTACTTCTGCGCCATCATGTAACCTTGTCTGCCACCCTGTGAACATCCATTCCAATAGCTATAGCTCGGTGCTTCGCCATAGTAAGAGTGAGTGACCGCCTTTCCTAGCGTCGCGGCATCATCTAAAGAGATCGAGGCAAGGTCTTCTAGCAACACCCAGTCGACATTGCCAGCACTACTCAGCGACCAGCTGATGTCCTGACCAACGTGTCCTCCGTCTGTCGCGACGGTAACGAAACCTTCACTAGCCGCCCATGGGAGTGTGGTGTTGGTTTCGGGTCCCGCAGCCCATCCTCCACCACCGGCGCCCAAGAGTCTTCCTGTCCACTTCTCAGGCGAGGGTAGCCAGACGACCGTGTGGATAGTGTCATTAGAGCCGGGATGCGTATACGTGATGATCACTTCACAAGCGTTCAGATCGGTTACGGCAGTGGCGTAATGGTTTTGCTCCGCGGGAGCTTGGAATGATAAATTCGTGTGTGTTTTTGTAGCAATGTCGAGGATTTCGCCGCCTGGCAGCTCCAGATTTTGGAAGGAAGAAGCTTCGCAGACCGGTTCTCCGAAGGCTGGGCATGTCAGGAAACCCAATATAGAAATGAGGGAAACGAGACTTCGTCTCCTCCATGGAGTTGTGTGCTGCATCGTAGTCGCAGGAAAGACTGAGAAAGCTACTCGTCAAGAGTTACTTACACTGCATACATTGCTTCCGTTACTTATAGCAAATGCATACTGGATTCATTTGCACATTCATCCTGAACTGAAGGATTCAACTGAATACCCATAGGGATACCTACGTTGGTCAGTTTGCGACAAAGGCTGAGGCCATGCCAATATGAAAGGAGTATCAGCTGCCATCAGGCGCTCTAATGCCATCCAATCGTGACAATGATCGATTCTAGCGTGTCTCTCGATTGAAGTATGCAAATTGGTGGACAATGGCTGAGTCATGTATTCATGACTTGAGCCGCGCCTCAAGCTTTTGAAACAAAGGGCGTTTAATCTAAACCCCTGTTGTGGCGGTTTGAGTGGTTTTGAGGCCATTTTGTTGACGCGATGTCTTGCATTGTTCAATATGCTGTGCCGCTTTGGATCATCTCTTCTTGCTCCAGATGTTGTTTTTGTTAAGACCCGTAGATGAAGTGGTAGTGGATGACGACCGTTGATGGTCGAGGTCTCTGTACTCTTCGAGTGCGGCACACCGCTTCCCGTGTCACAGATTCCACGAACCGAGTCTGTTTGGCTCCAGCGCGCGCATCGGGTATCCTCTTCGTATGGTCGTCGCGTATCGCGGTTGATGGAGCTTGGGTAATTGTGCGACCAGCGACGCAAGGTCTGGCGGCGGCAGCACTATGCCTATTCAGGAATACCCGAAGACGTCACCACGCGTCAGTTTCGCGAAGTATCACAAACCGTCCTCAACTCTCGTCAGCGATCTCATCTTCGAGTCCGTAGACACGTCCATCTTTCCCACCAAGCCTACAATGAAATACCGATTCGGCTCTTGAATTACCCCACATGCCTCGTGTGGGGCAAGAGCTACCCCGAGACCGCCCCGCATCGGTCACGTACCGGTCGGAACTATGCCGCCCGCATGTACAGCATGGCAAACATCATATCTTTGCGACAATCTCTAGTTTGAGAGAAGAAGCCATTGACACCCCAAGATCGAAAACTCATTCAACGCAACCATGGATCCAGCGCAATTCGGCTACAGTACTATCCCTCTCAACCACGCGCCATATGGCCCAATCGTCCCATCCGCTCTAGAAGGATCCAATGCCGGAAAAGTAGCCCTCATAACGGGAGCCGGACAAGGCATCGGTGCCGCCATCGCAGAATCGCTAGCAAAATCTGGAGCTCACCTAGCCATCCTCGACCTAAACACCGACAACCTCACACAAACCAAGAAGACATGTTCAGCGTTCGGAGGAAAGGTCGAGGCATATGGCTGCGATGTTACGGATATGGAGCGCGTGAAGGAGGTTTTCGCGCAAGTGGAGAAAGAATTAGGACCAATCGACATATTGGTGAACAACGCGGGGATATTTACTCAGCGACCGTTCATCATGGGTAGCTTTGACACGTTTTGGAAACAGATCGAAGTCAACTTCAAGGCTGTAAGTCTGTCTTTCTGTACATTAATGTGTCTTTACTAATGTATGTCTAGCCTCTCATGCTCATCCACGCTGTCCTCCCTCAGATGCGCGACCGCGGCCATGGCTGCATCATCAACATTGCCTCTCGATCCGGTACCGTCGATGTACCCATGACTTTGGGATACGTGACGTCAAAAGCCGCTCTGATGCGTGCCACACACACACTACAATTGGAGATGGAACTGGATGGGCTGGACCCAGCGATTCATATGTATGCGCTGCATCCGGGTGGAGTGAGAGGCAACATGGGCGGAGGTAAATACTTCTCATCGGTATACCCCGCCGAAAAGCATGCTAACGTGATGTAGCTGGCGCGCCAGACGATGTGAAGCAGAAGTATGGCGACCTTACGGACGAAGAGTTCTTCAAAGACCTTTTCAAGGACGGACCGTCGCTTTGCGGTCAGACTTGTGCTTGGCTAGCAAGTGGAAAAGGGAAGGAGTTGAGAGGACTGTTTCTAGGTAAGAAGCACACGGTCTGTGTGTCGAAGCTTTAGGACTAACATCATACAGATTGCCGGCAAGATGTGACGAAGCTCTTAGATATCGGACGAGAAACACTGCTGAAAGAGAACCGGAACAGGCTGACAGTGAACTTTATCGATGGATACTGCAATGAGCCATAACGGTTGGAACAAAAAGCCAATGTATATTCTAGATGGTGAAGAGTCGGCATATTACAAGATAAAAGACCAATACTGAAGAACAGAACAAATTCCATATACAATCCGCCCCTTTCCTCCCCTCCACTCGAATCGTCCTCCTGAATCGCTCTTCTCTTTTCGCGACATATAGGCGACGAAAACCATAACACTTGGTGGGAAACACCTAGTAAACAGGCATCTTGAAAGCGTCGAAAGTGTACGTCCAGCTCTCAATAGATGCCTCATCCTGAACACATTCAAGTTCAGTGCTGTTTCCTGCCCAAAGCGGTCGTGCAGGCCACTGGCAAAGCTGCTGCACTTCACCAGCGTTATCACCCGCCGACACAGTCGCATTGAGGCGACTGGGCTTGACCCCATTCTCAACCCAATCAATAATCGTAGCCATGTTATCCTGCGGGTAGGGGCCAGGCTGGAGCTTATTAGCACCACAGTGCGCCGCGCCGGGCACGAGGTAGAATTGGTACCATTCAGCCATGGCTTCCTGGGCTTCAGCGTCGGTCATGCTGGGGTACATGATTGAGCGGACGGACTGCCAGTAGTGGACGGAGGATGCAGCGGGGATAGAGGGGTCAGATTCGCCGTGGTAATGGATCATCTTTGCGCCGGAGGATTGGAACGGAGTGAGATCGGGTAGAGTGGTTTGCAGGCTGTCGAGGTAGCGGACCATACCGATGTTCATCCATTCTACGAGGGTGTCGTAGGTGACGTTGTCGAGGTTGGCAAGGTTGTCTAGGTCGAGCAGTTGGACGAATTTGGTAACGTACTCGCCACCGGTGGAAGGGATGCTGAGTTCCCACTTCTC